CTAACTCATGGATGCGTTCATTGGCCGCATCCTCTCGTGTCCAGGCTTCATTCCGCAACTCGGTATTCTTGGTGATGTCCCTTTCCATTTCCGCCAGCTTCTCTTGATCTTTGGCATGAGCTCGACGAAGAGTGTTGAGCTCCTTGGTAAGGTTCTTGATGTTGGCGGGATTGCTTGAAGATCCTTCATCTCCTAGGGTCTTGGAACTTTCTTCACCAAGCTTACGGTTACACGGTGCCAACTGGTGACGAGGGACTCCGTGAGGTCCAGTGGACTTGCGTGCGGTTATCTTGGTCTTTGCCATAGCCTGTAGAAGTTAGGGTAGGACTATAAGGATAGCTTGAGGATAATGGAGGTTAGCAAGAATGGGATTGACATTACTTACCCAACCACTTTTAAGGGGAATTATTATTCAAGGTGTTCAAGCATGATGCATGAATCGATCTTACGAATCCGAGTACAAAAGATTTATACAATCAAAAGTACTAGATTTTTAATACATTGGACAAACCTAATCATATTATCCGCCACAAACTTTCAAATCAGATAAGATTAACGCTAGATTAGAGGGAAGAAGAAAGAAATTTGAACTCAAAATATCCAGTTTAATTTCTTTGATCCAAATTAGTTTGAAGGTTTTCAAAAGCAACCTACAATGATCTTAGATAGGACCTGCTCTGATACCAGCTGAAGCGTGGTGGGCCCATAACCCATAGGTCCTAGGATCGAAACCTGGCTTTGATACCAGCTGTGGCAGAACCTCCTAAGAAATCAGGCCCACGTGCACCTATCGATGTCTCAACATACCTCAGATAGCGTACACAAGTTCCCAACAACTTAACAGATCTGTCGGGTGTCCTCGGGAAACCCGAATCATCCACGAATCTTTTCCAAATAGGATCCCAATCACAGTCATTGCAGATTACAACAGTTTTTCAATATACATACTAGAGATTATAAAGCGGAAGACTTATGTTTTAATATTACAAACTAGTTGTTTCAAACTTACAAAACCATAAGTGTCATACAACCATAGTAGCGGGATAATATTATATTAACATTATTTATTTCACACAAACTAGTGTCTTGTCCAAAGGCCATTCATCATTCCTCATCGTCATCGACTTCAAACACTGACATGCAGCAGGGACCAAAACAAGCCTGCGCATGTGACTCAACTGCAACAAGGGTTAACAAACCCTGAGTACAAAAGTACTCAACAAGACTGACCCGACGAAAAAGGGCGAAGGTCTTAGGGATGCAGGTGTTGGGTCAAGGTAAGGATGTAGAAAGATTCAAAAGTTCTTTGCCAAAAGCTTACTATTCTTGATCCTAGTTTCAAGTTTTACCCCTAATTACTTTAGTTCAATATCTCCAACTAAGTGTTCATATCCCATGTTCTAATCCTTCTCATTCCATTCTTTTTCTTATGTTTTAGTAATTCACCAGTCCTGCATTGCTTCTGTAATGAATCGAGTCTCCATATCCGAGGAGCACCGGCAATTCGAATTGATTCAAGTCCCTGCTGGGGATTCCTTATCACACGACATATGTAGAACTTAATCTTGCATATATCAACCTCGCTACCGGATCCTCCCATACTAAGCTGTCTCCACGCCACCCGAGAGCACAGCACGCCTCAAATCCGGCCACATTCAAGCCACGAGGGTACACGCTACTCCCGCCATCTCACCACTCTCAGTGCGTGTGCATTCGTCTTAGTATCGGATTAACCAAAGTAGGCTTACCGGAGTATGTGACCAGTACTACAAAGTGTCTCATTCAGAAAATCCACAATGAGTGGCTTTTAAGCGACATAGTCGGCAACATTACCCAACATTCAAGATAAGTCACCCGACTAGTCTCTAGTTCATTCTACCTTCTTTCTTTGTTTGGCCAGTATGCCATCTTTGATTGTATCAAAACTTTTTCTTTGAAAGCCTACCATAAAGCATACTAAGCATTCTACGCCTTTGTAAATAAATATCATCTTCAAGGATGGTAAACAATTAACAAGGTAGGCAATGCATTAAGTAGGTAACATTTGAAATAATCAACTTAATGCAATAGGTAACATAGATGATAAACTTTTCAAAGTAAACAAGGTAATGGTTCAATGCATAAACCGGGGCTTGCCTTCGTTGATGAGCTCAGGTTCCGGATCAGTACCACAATTATCAAATCCCGTGACAACTGGGGATTCTTCCAGGACTTGCTCAACTAGAATCGTTTCACTCTCGGGTTCTACATAAAATGATAACATATGCTTTAACATGATGATAATGTAAACATGATGCTTTCATGGTACATGAAATGTAAAAACACCTCGAAAACGATTTTCCTTCACGGTACAGTTGCAAGCCAACAAAACCAACTGGCAATTCTACCGTCAAGAACCACACATGTAATTTGACCAAATGGATCTTGAAACCCTACTAGTCACAAAACATGACCAAAACAAGATCCAACACTAATCAAACACTTAGGGTTTGCCTTTATTTATTTTTGAATAAATTTGGAATTAAGTCAAAAAATGAACTTGTTCTAAATGACCTCAAAAATTTATGTAAGCTTCCTTATGTCAAATTAGTGTGCCAAAACAAATTTCATAATTTTTGGAATTATACAGTGGCCTACAAAAATCATGGAAATTGCATTTATTAATTAATGGACTGAATATTTGAACATTAAAAATTTATTCAAATTTCAGGTTTCAAATTTTTAAACCATACTAGAGCATGTACAGAGGCTACACACAAAATTTCAGAATTTTTGGAGCTATGATTATTTTCCTACAAATTTCCAAAGATTCAGCACTATTCAAAATTAGAAAATAACAAAAGTCACTATTCTCTCTCTTGCTCTCACTGACAGCCGGCCCCCACCTGTCATCCCCAACCTCGGGCATCGACTGTGGCTGCGACGGCGCTGACCGGCGCAAACTCGCCGACGGTGAGCCCAACAGCGACGACCAAAGCACTAACATGTTCACAAGAGCTAAGCGCATCGATTAGTGGCACTTTGGAGGTCGATTACGACATGGAACAAGGCTAACACCGGCCATGGCGGACGCGGTGGCATGACAACGTTACACCAGTGAAACAAGGCCAGTAACGGTAAAACAGAGAGTTCAGAAGCATCAGTGGCTCACCCCGATCGTGTTGAAGCAACAGGCGAGACCGGAGAAGCTACGGTGATGCGTTTCGACGCTGACCGGGATCACAGCAGAGCGGACCTCATCGACGATAGCGTTCTGGCGACAGCAGTTGGCAAAACGAGCAGGCAAGAATGGAATGAGCACTACAACATCGCGATGAAACCAGAGAGCCAACAATCGAGGGCAATGGCTCATCGGATGAGGCTGGCCACGGTGAATCGACGTTTCCATTGAGGTCGCCGGCCGCGAGGAAGATGAACGTGGACAGCGAGCTCTCAGCAAAATCAGGTGGTAGCAACAGCTCGGTCTGATGCACAAGGAGCAGGAAAAACTGGAACATGGCTTTTCCGGGGCTAACTTGCACTGAGGGGACGAGAGAAGCTCGCCAGAGTTGAGACGGCGGCGTCGGGAAAACAGAGTGAAGGAAGAAAAATGAACGGCGTCATCAGGGTCTTATAGCTCGGCCAGGAGCGCGCGGACTCGACACGCAGAGTGCTCCCCATGCCAGCGCGAAGCCAAGGGCGGTCGTAGACGTGCCTAGAAGGCCGGAGAAAGGACGTCGACGGTGAGGCGGTGGCGCCCTGTAGTTATCTGAATTTTTGAAATAATTACAGATTTGCCACTGAGTTCATTTTACAAATTACTCCCAATTTTTTTAAAGAAGTTGAAAATCTCCAAAAATGAAAGTTACTCAATTTTTCAAACTCTACAACTTTGCTTCTAGGAACATTTTCAAATTCTACCTCCATTATGAAATTTGAATTTGGGGTGCATTTGAGTATTTGAATCATTCCAAAATTACTCCAAATTTTATATGTAAACTTGAAAAACTTTGAATACCAAAGTTGATCCACATAAAATAATCTTCAACTTTGCTTTTTGCCTCAACCCCAAATTCCAAATGGATTTTGATTTAAACAAAAGGGGCAAAAAGGACTTTTGTGATTTGAATTTGAATTCAAATTTGATTTGTTTTCCTTTTACTTTAACTTTGCTTTTTGACCAGTAACATGGCCCATTAGGGTTATTTGAGTCAAATGACACATGGCCTCACATGATCACATGAAATTTGACCCTTGTGGTCATGATTTTTATTTAGGGTTTTGAAACACATCACATGAAATAACAACATTATGAAATAAAGCTTATTTAGTAAATGCATTCAAAATTTTCTACTTCATGAATGCTTTGCAATGCATATGATGACATGTCAAATTTTAGTGCTAGGTCAAAACACCAGAGGTGTTACAAAGAGCTTTGTCTGTATGTATTCTAAAGGGTTGAAGGAGGAAGAGTGTGTGGATTGCCCTTGCATTCAGACCCGGCTTAAATAGGCCAACATTGAACATGGAGGAGCGGAAACGAGCAGTTAAGATCCGTGATCTACGCATAGGCTTCAGCGAAGAAGATGGTTCTCAGCGGAATTGGTGAGACGGTGTTGGATGTTGGGACATTCAACACTCGCACTGAATTTACTGCTAGTAGACCAAACAATCGTGTAGGGCCGATGGCCATAACATGTATCTTAGTCGGCTCGGCGTTCCATGCGACAGAGGAATGCAACCCCACTAGCACCGCCGCATCGATGGTTGAACCGTCGGTGCTAGAAGTTTCATCTATCGATTTGATTCCTTTTCAGGCCTCGCTATCGATCCAACCGACGGTGGAAGTATCCCACCGTCGCTTCTATCTTCTACGGCAGTGAAACTGGTGATGGTGATCGCTCATTCTATACTAGTGATTTGCCTTTTTTGTAGCTTCTACCTCGGGTCCAGTGGGCGCGATGATGTAGAGCAATCAACTCGCTGAAATTGGGCTCCTTGTGTTGAGTAACCTTGTCCCATCAATCTTTAGTGCAACTTTCAAGAAAAGCCTTTAGAACGGCGTTGAACTTGGTTTCCACTTGTTGCTTCAGCTCTTTGGGAAGCTCATCAACGAAGTCAGGGTGAATGACATTGTCTTGATTGTGTGGATTGGTCTTGTAACCATTGCTCCCCATGTCGCTAGTAGATTGGATCTTGCTTCACTTCTTCTTCCCTAGCATTGTCGCCAAAAAGTGAGGTTGATGCCGAAGAGTGTCCGGATCACACACCAGCAAGGGCTAGCACACCCGGTGGGTTGCAATCAACACTCAACGCAGCAAGAATGCAGCGGGATCGACAAAACCGATCTAGAGACCGGTTAGGCCAATGTTGAGCTCGTTTTTCACTTGATAGACTCCCGAACTTCTCCCAGGAATACCTGTCGGGGAGGAGCATGTGGAGGGTGTCCTAGGACCAGCAAGGCCGCCTAGAATGCTGTGCAAATCTTGTTGGGAGACACGATGAATAGCAGGAAGGGTTGGACAAGAAGTAAAGAGTGTAGTAGATTGGTTTTTTGACGATTGAAAATTAGGATCCTCAATCAACCGTAATCCTTGTATATAGAGGGAGGTGGTCTTATCTTAGTAGGAATCAAGTCCAAAATATGTTCTCCAAGTTTTTCATGTCAAAACACATGCCAAAAAACGATCTAGAAATGAATTGGTTCGGTATTGTAGGGGAAATCGGCTAAGCCGACTTTTGCGGGCCTGGGTAGGTGCTTCATCCGGCCAGGAGGGCTAAACTGACTTGGGCAGGTAGGGTCGCCTAAGTTAACTGGAGGTGGCTCGCACGACTCGTCGTCTTCCTCATGTGTTTCACTCGCTATTTTCTTGTGCCATTTGGTTTCCAACACACCTATGATGTTTATAACTTGTTGGCGATACCCATGACCATGTTGAGACACTTTTTAGTTTCAATGGTAATTCGTTTGGATTGTGGTCTGTGCTGGCAAGGATTCACCATGCCACAACAGGAGAGCAAAATCTATTTGTTTGGTAGAGCAAGGCAAAGTGAGGTTGGAGAACCAAACGCCACCCCTCCCCTTTTTTGGGTTAATTGGATTCATGCCATTACAAAAACGACGATTCTGAGATTTACCATTACAATTCGACTATTTTGAAATTTGCCATTGCAATTCTACCTCTTGCTGATTCTTGCCATTTTCTACGTATGGCCTCAGCCTGGGCCCATCTGTAGGCTGTACTCACGTACAGGAGTGCCGTATCGACGGCTTTTCACGTGGCCACGACCTAGCGTGTGGACATCGTCTCCATTCCGTCTCCTTCCCCGCCCCCTTCTCCATGAACCCTAGACCGACGATTCGGCAGCAGCGGCGCAGGCAATTCGGCGGCGGCGGCGGAGAACCGAAGCTATTATAGGGAGAGCTGCCGGTGGAGGAGCTTTGACGTGGCCTAGCTCTGTCCCTGCGGCAATGGTGGCTGGATGAGCTCCATGGTGCTGGTTCCTGGGTGCGCCGCAACGACGGCAGGTATGCATCTGAATATCTCTCGAGCTGGCCCAACATGAGGAGACCTCTAAGAACGAGTACATCCACCCCAGAACGCAGTAGGTGTGCCATATTACTCTTGAGATTTTACCTTTCCATTTGTATGGTGATAGGCCTGATTTCTTCACGCTAGAGCTGAAAGTGGAAGGTTTCTGTACAACAGATGCCTTTGGTAGAAAATCTTGCAAAAATGGTGCAATTATTAAGTGGGATGTGGAGATAGGCTCTTTTACACTAGAGATGTTGATGACCAGCTTGTGCAATGAAGTGAAATGGTCATCTAACCAATCTGTGTGCGTGTGGTTTTTTTGACAAAAATCTGCATCAAGATGTCAGACTACTCCATGATGGCAGAACTCTTTGCCATGTATGAGCAAGAGATGTGTTGCAATTTTGTCGTTGGAGTGTTTGACAAAGAGGTGTGTAATGAGCATGAATTTGATGATTTAGAGGCTCTGTGTGTGATCCCACCTGATGATCCTATGATTAGTCATCATGTTAGTAATGAAAACCCCACTGCAGCCAACCAAAGCACAGCACCCAATGGTGATGTACCCAGCCCATAGAAAATGATGCAAACATTGAGGGTGAAAGGGAGCCAGATATATTTGACAATGAGGAGGAGTATGTTGGTGTTGATGACAAGCATATTTACACTTCAGTCCCATGTGCACAAACAAACTTTGCTGACAATGTAGAAGCTGTTGATGATGATGTTGCCGATGATGTTAATGCCGAAGGAGGAGTTCCTCTAGAGGCACAAGTCAATGATGCAGATCCCCAGAAGATACATGACGTGCATGATCCAGAAAATCCCAACATAGTGAAGGGAGCCTTATTTCCTAACATAGTTTCATTCAGTAAGGCTGTGAGGCATTATGCTGTGACAAGGGGTTTTGAGTTAGCTGACATCAAGACTGACAAGACAAGATTCATTGCTAAGTGTAAAACAAAGGGCTGTCCATGGAGGATACATGCTTCTAGAATTTTTTATGGCGAAACAATAGAGGTATGGGAGTACATGCTTTTTTTTGAGAAAAAACAAGAGCTTATATTAATTAAACAGCTTTCTGTAGTTGTAATTATAGTACATGCTTTCTGTAGTTGTAATTATAGTCTTCAATCAGTGACAAAACAAGAGGTTCCTTCTCACCCTCTTCTTGTTTTCAGTTTTCTAAAATTATTGCTATGTGCACTAACTTGAAATTGTTCCTGTACCATCACAGGAAGAGGCAGCAAACAGAAGAAGACATTGCTAGACCATCCCAGGTGAAGAAAAAGAAGACTGCAGCAGAGAAAAAGAAGACGCCGAAGAAAAAGAAGACTCCAATTAAAAAGAAGCTTATGAAGGCAGCTGCTGTTCCACAACCTAGTGTTGTCCGAAGCCTTAAAGACTTCATTGACAGCCTATGAACTTGTGTCATTCCAATATGTGACAGCTGTGTGAAATAAGCTGATGGCAGCTGTGTCACCTATATTGGTGTCTTTTGTTTAAGTTAGCTGTGTGAAATGAATTTATGTCTTTTGCTTAAGTTAGGTGTGTGAACTATGTTGAAGCTAGGTGTGTGAACTATGTAATGTCATTTGTGAAAACTATGCTTCTGTCAGCTGTGTAAGAACCAAGTTAATGTCATCTCTGTCTGTTAGAAATTGGCATGCTGAACATGCTCCAGATTGGCTTGTGCTCTTTTTTTTTCTGAACCGTGAACATGCTTTAGATTTGCCTTTGCTCTTTTTTTCTGAACTGAACTGTGAAGCTAGGTGTGTGAAATTGGCATGCTGAACATGCTCCAGATTGGCATGTCGAGTAAGGACTTGTGTGGGCTGTTGGTTAAGTCCAGATCTTATTGCATCAGACACGAACTTTATCAGTCCATCTCCTTTTTAAAATCAAGATACCGAATCTGAGGCATGCCAGTAACAAACACCAGATTTCTTTCATCCTAATTTCCGAATGATCACCTATTTATGTATATATGAGTCACAATTTTATAAGATAGTTTCTGCCTCCCATTTTTATATTACAATAACAACAAAAAAACATGAAAGTTGGTCATACAAGCTGAACACACTACCCATTACAGGTTTCTTTCATAAGATAATTTTAGTGCTGCTGAAATTGGTCATACAAGCTGAACACACTACCCATTACAGGTTCCTGCATTACATTGCTGCTACAACCATTACATAGTATCTAGCATCGCTTCCACATTAGGGCAGCAAAGACACCAATCAAGACACCAACAGACACTGATGCTACAACTGAAAAAAATCAATCACAATCTGCCACTTCCTCTTGCCTGGTTCCCCATCTTGCATTATCTGACCTTGTCGCATTTTCTAGTTCCAAACTTCAGTGGCAAAACTGTCCATGACTTGCTCGGTTCAGTTCACGCCTCAAATCGACATATCCTTCATCACACAATTGCATCACTGCTGTCGGATTGGAATTCTCGAGAAGGATGAGGGCGCAGCTGTTGTAGTCCTCCGCCGCCACAATCGATTTGCCTGCACCGTCGCAGGAACAGAGCAACGCCACGCTGTCCTGCACCCCCAAGAGCTCTCCGTCTAAGCCGCCGCCGCCGCCGAATCATCGATTCAGTTAGAGGCTTTTACCATTGTGCCATTAAAAAAGTTTGTAATTATGCATAAGTCATTAAAAAAATTGAGCTCCCACGAGTGACATCGTTCTGAACTTCTTTGTCCATCTGTATTCTATTTTTTTTTACCATTTGGCAGCCCTTACATATGGGCCCGGTCAATGTAAACGTCCAAAATACCCTTCTCTTGTCCTATCCTCTTGCTTCTTTCTCTCTTTCTAGTGGGGCCAAACTGTCAGCGACCCAGCTCCACCTTCCTCCTCGCTGCGCTTGACCTCATGGCATGCCGATGCCAGTGGAGCTCGCTCGCTTGTGTTTCTCGCTTCATGGTGGCGGGCGGAGCTCCTCCGCGCTGCACTTTGTGGGTGGTGGGCGAGAGTTCGCTTGCGCCGCGCGCCATGGGCGGCCGGGGCGGAGCTGCCCTCCACGCGCACCCGTGGCGGCTCGGGCGGAGCTCCCCCCTGAGCGCGCTCGCGGCGGCCGGTCTTGGCGAGCAGGTCATCGATGGCGGAGAAGATGACGAGCTCGGCCTTAGCACGGGAGGACTCGAGGTCACGCAACGGTGGGATGTAGCACTGCATGTACGGCAGGCACGTCTCCTCCCCGAACCTGGACCGGTCCAACAGCCACGTCATGAACCAGACACTGTGCTCGTCGAAGGCCGGCCACACGCGGGAGTGCTCCAAGAACATGCAATGCCCATGGTACTCATAAGCACACGTACAGCAAAATGGTGATGCTAGAATCAAAAGCAGATATGCAACTGAAACTTGGGGGATGGGGAGTTAAGACCTCACCGTGCGCATGGATCGCAGAGAGGCTCCCCATGGGCATGAAGTCGTAAACAAGTAGCTTTTCATCTTTTTGCTGTAGTAGTATGCACGGAGGCACAATGAACTCGTTTGAAGCTCACCAATCTCGTAAATGCATTCACGGAACTCAAGTTCGACAGCGAGTCACGTCCTTGAGGCGCTTCACGCCACAGTTGCCCCAGACTCAAAGCTTCGCCTTGTATAGTTGTATGTCCATC